AAGAATACAGCGGGAAAATTTTATTTTAAGGGTCAGTTGTAACAATGCAAATGTGCCCACGGTAAAAAGAATGCCAAACTAGAGGGACTGCAAGTGAAAACTATATAGCTAATGACAAAATAAAGCTGCTTTTCAAGGCTGCTGCATATAAAACGCACTAGACTATTTCAAAACTGTGGTGACGCAGTTTAGGTTTGACGCCATCATCAGACTCTTGCAGATCGTAGATAACGAGAGAGCGGGCTGTTCTACACCTTAGTTCCAGGATAAGAAAAACGGTCTTTTAAATAATTGGTCTTAAGCCGTCATGTATGCTTGGTCGACTTCAAACGCTTCACTTACTTGAAGTCCTTTTTTTAGGTTTCAGTGAGGTTAGATAATAATAACTAGGGGTACCTTCCGGCAAGTGCCAACGAGGCGAATTCGTTTATCTTTTGTGGAATGTGCCTATTCAGATCTTCGCGGTATTTTTTTCCATAATTTTAAAGGTTTAAAATGGATTCCGCTATAGAAAAGGATGGCACCCAACTTCAAAACAACAACTTTGGCACATTCTAGGCTTTCACTTTTATTAAACAATAACAACATGGCTTGAAGCTTTGTTGGTAAATATGAGCAAGTTAGCACATATGTTTCATGGAAAATTCCATTGTATCAAAGCTATAAACGTTAGAAAGAAAAAGATAGTTCAAATGGGGCCTTTGACTGGTGAAATTAAAAAAATAATAATTTAATTCCGAGCGACAGCGTCATCAGGGATAAGAAAAGTATTTCGCGTGGTAATATACATAAGAAAAAATTGGTGTAAAAAAACGTGTGTGAAAAGCACAAGAATGGGGCGGAATGTGTCAGAGGTATAAAAATATAAATTTGAATAAAATAGAAAGATCTGATGAGCGAGTGTCGCAGGACAAAGAGTCTCTTGAAAGGCATAATGATAGTCTTCAAAACAAAAGGTCCGCAAACTCGTTGCCTTCCTCACCGGAGTTTTGGGCTGTCTCAATACAAATCGAGCAGCAAAAAAACATGCTGGTTGACAAAATATCTCGAAAGACATAAATAAATTCTAAAAAAAAAGTCCGCAAATACGTTGCATTCCTCACGGAAGGTGAGGACTGGCTCTATGTAAATCGACTTGCGAAGAACATGCTGGTTTTGATATAAGTTTTGAGAATATAACCCTATGCCTTGATCAACTATCGCTTAAAATTCAATTCACAAAGGAAAACAGAACACTGAAAACCCTGGTTCTGTGTCGAGAAGCGAACACGCTACCTCAGTGTAAATCGAGCTGCAAAGAGCGAGCTAGTTCTGACAAAAATTTGAGCGTAAAACCCTATTCCTTGATCAGCTGCTACTTTAAACACAATTTATAAAGCAAACCAGAGCACTAATTGCCCTTTCAAACTAGAAATCGTATTAAAGCTTGCTCACCAGTTAGGTCCTCTTGAACAGACAACGAACAGCTGCACACTGAATCACCCAATCTTGAACCACAAGTTGTAAATACAAGACCATGACGTCACTACCCAAATATGGGGTCTTTCTTACACCCAAATATGGTCAAAAATGCAAATGTTAGAGGGTTACGCAGAATTTGGGAGTTTTTGCCTACGTTGCGCGGCGTTATAATTCTGCCGCCGAGTCAACCTCGCTTCTTAGCTCGGTTGCCTCGTTGGCAATAATAATAACAATAATAATAATAATAATAATAATAATAATAACTAGCATTTCTAAACATGTATGGCCTATACAGATAGTTCTAAAAGCTTTACATTTCTCAGTCTATGTTCCTAGTGATAACAAATCACAAAAGAGAAAAAAAAGATGATGAAATAAATAAATAAAGCTGACTAACAAAAATTAATTAATGTGTATTTAGCTTAGTCTTAAAAATAGTTATACCCTGTCTATCGCACGTAATTCAGATGGAACTTCGTTCCACAGCTTAGGACCACAAACAGAAAGGACCTCAGTCCATAAGACTTCATATTATATTATACCGTGCCAGGTTCAGTCTAATTGCATCAGTGGAGGAGCGCAGTGATGTATTAAACTTGTAGACCATCCAATAATTCTTGTAAATACTTAGGGCCTAATCCATGTACACATTTAAAAGTAAGGAAATATGTCCTACAAACTATTCTCAGCTCTACTGGTAGCCAGTAAAGTGTATGCGGGTTCAGATTTGTTTTGATCAATGAAAACGCGCCCGAAACGGTAAGATACCTCTTTCCTACAACGAGGTGTAAGCTAAATCAAATTTATCCCTCTGCTTTTTAATTTTCTGTTGTGTAGTGCTATGTTACGTTTAACTTGAACCATGCATAAAAATTCAAAGGTGTCTAAATGTTTACAGTGTGGGCAAACCGAATGGCAGCCAAGCCGTAGAACACAATCGTGTCGATTTATAGCACAAAAAGGGTCTACGCGTTTTACAAAACTGCCGCTTCCGTGCAACTCGGTACACGCTAACTCATATACCAAAACAAAGCCCAAG